AGGAGCCACCAGAAGGGAGAGAGGAGCTGGTCCTGCCCTGCTCTTCCCAGTGCCACTCCTCTATTGCTGGTCTGAGCCCTTCACACACTGCCTGACCAGGCGTGGGGAAAGCGGGGCTCAGAGACTGAATTTTCAAAAGGTGCACAAAGCTGGGATTTGACCCCAGTTTGTCTGACCTCCAAAGACCAAGCTAGGCATTGAGGTCTAGATGGTGACCCTGGGCCCTCAGCTGGTCTGCCGCTGGCCAGGTGCACTTCCTGAGGCCTTTTCCTCTGCCCTGTTCTGCTTCTCCTGTCCCCTGTGTCCTCCCAGCCTGTGACCTTAGGCTAGTGGTCTCCCCCAGCATTGTCTCTGTCATGCCCCTGCTCTCTCTCCAGAGGCTGCAAGCTGCAGGACTCTCTTCTTTTGGACTGCTCGTGCCTAGGAAACCCTCCACTCCTCATGGCCCCCAACTCCGAGATCTCTTCCTTCATCCCCGATACTCTGACACAGCCCACCGTGAATGCTGGAGGGGTCTGGCCCTGATAGGACCTGCACTGACCAATTCTCCTGGCCCACTGAGGCCCATGGAGCTGGACAGGGTGTGGGTAGCCAGAAAAATTCACATCGGGTCGATCTGCAGTGACATCCCCAGGGACTGGGGTGACAACCAGCTTGGGATTGGGGACACAGTGCGGGCTGACAAACTCCATGACAAGCCCCGTGACTCAGGCACATTCACATCCCTGTCACTTTGCACATGTGCCAGGCAGCACTCCCTTCCCGCCCCCAGCCCAGGGATGCTTCTGGGGTGCAGGCTGCCCCACCCGTGCCCCGGGGGCTCCAGGAAGTGAGCACATGGCTTCAAAAGAGACCCAATCGGTGCTTCATCAGACCCAGTCCTGTGGTCAAGCTCAAGACAGCTTGGCCATGTGGGACTGGGCACCTTGGGAAACGGGCTTGGGCTCCACGCCTCATCTTGGCTCTTTTGCTCTGGAGGATGAGCCCTCCAGTGCCTAGACTGGGGGCATCTAGTGTCTGCCTCTTTGGGTGGCTGTCTCAAACCCTCCCCCTCTTCCCCACCAAGTGAAGCGATGGGGTCCAAGCCCACCCTCTGTGACTGGTCTGGCTGTGGCTCCAACCTGCCAGTGGTGGGGAAGGTTCTGAACCACCCACTTACCCCACAGAGCCTTCCTTCACTGCCACCTCCACTCTTCCCCTCTGAGGCACGGCAGCGAGCACCCACGTGTGACAAGATGGGGCTGCAGGCAGCCGAGCAGGGCCCTACCTTGGGGTGAGATGTCTCCCTGGCTCTCAGCAGCGCAGGCTTCCTGGGCCCAGGCCAGCGGTGTCGAGGGCCCCAGGTGCCCCTACCTCAGGGCTAATTGTGTCCTTCTTCCATTGGGAGAGAGGACTCACTGAAGTGCCCTGGAAGTGGGTGTGAACTGGAGGGTAGCGCCTGTCCAGAGAGCCTGCCCAGCATCAGGGGTACTTATAGGCCTGGCCCAAGTGAGAGGTGGCTGAGGAAGAGGGGAGCCAAGTAGCGGAGACGGCGGGCCCTTGGGGCCTGAACAGTCTGCCCTGCACTGCCCACGTTTATGACCGGGGTTTGGATCTCCCTTGTCCCCATAGCTCCTGGTCCAGACCTGTGGCCACCTCCTGCCAGGCCAGCAAGTCTCCATCAAGCCTTTGCCCTCTCAGGGACCCAGCCCAGGCCTCCGCTCAAAGGCGTTGGCTGAAAGAAGGGGCCTGGGAGGTGGCGGGTACCGGGAAGGGACTGACCGAGTGGGCAGGTGAAGCGGCATCCGCCATCTGTTCTCTCTGTGGAGGGAAGGCTTCCTGTGCAGAGGCCGGGAGGGGCTGGAGGAGTGGCCACTGGGCCGTGGGCTCCCTGAGGCTCCAACAGCTAGGGTGTTGGGTGCCTTTTGGGGTGATGGGTGGGGGACTCTCTCCCCTGAAATCCCGGGAGGCCAGACCCCTGCCCTAGCAAGTCTCACAGTGCCCGGTTTCCCTTCTGGGGCCGTCCAACCTCGGCCAAGGCTCGACCCCTCCTCCAGGACCAGGCACGTGGCCAGCCTCCTCCTTTCCCCTCATCCTCCTGCTGTGGTGGCAGCTCCACACAGGCCCAGGTGTCCAGGGCAGACTGGGCCCCCGCCATGCATCCACATGGCTCCTGGAGTGGAACTGTGTCTAACACCTGTCTCATAGGCCCAGGGGCTCGTGGTGCTGGGAGGGAAGCTCAGAGCTCAAAGGAGGTCCAGGATCTCACCCAGCCACGCCGGCTGGGGGCCTGCAGTTCTGCTTCCACCGAGATATGGTCGGGCGGCACCGGCCCACAGCCCTGGTCCAGTGGCTGTGGGGAGCGTGCTTCAACCAGGCAGCCTCTGGGGTCAGGAGCCCTGGGAGGGCCTGTCAGGACCACAGGCTCAGTGGCCTCCGCCTGGGAAGCGGCCGCGCGTATGTGAGACCCTGGGGGTGTTGGCGGCCCTGTCCGAAGCCCCCTCCCCCCTCCTCATTGTGGCCGCCGCGATGGCGTGGCCTGGCCCCTTCCCCGGCTCCACAGCCTGGCCCGGTGCACACACCTTACCTCGGCCCGGGCACCTGGCTCATGCCACGCTGTCCGCCGGGCGTCTTCTCGTCATGGGGAGCCC